GGGGGGGGGGGGGGGGGGGGGGGGGAGGGGAGGGGGCTCACCCCCTTTTTATGCATTCCCTTCAATTTTTGGCTAAAATGGGGCACTTCTAGGGAGCGAGCCCCTTTCCCCCACTGGCTCACTTTGACTTTTTCACCTGCAAGCATTTAAGAAAGGTCGTTCTCTTCATCATAGGAGTTCTTTGCTGAAGAACTCATGATTACGGGTAGTCCTCGTTTATCGACTGCCTTGTTTAGTGACCATTCACAGTTATGACGGTGAGGAAAAAGTAACTTTACAACCAATCCTCGCATTTATGACCTTCGCAGGTCTGTAAAGCAAAGGAAAGCTGAAGGAAGATCATAAGCCCAGCCGCAGTTTCGCTTAGCAACTGAGTTGCCAGTGCCAATTGTGGTGGCTAAACAAGGACTACCTGTAGAATGAAGCAAGGATTTTAGCCCTTTTTGCTCTACTTCTGCATCTGGTCATTAGGACAGGGCAATAAAAAAAGAATAAGCTATTCTGGCTGTGAGAGACTATACTCTTCAAGAAGGATTGCGTGTCCAGATGTGAAATAAAGCTGTTTTATCATCACTTCCCAAATAATGACAGTCTGGACAAACAGAACATTTGGTTTCTGAAATTCTGTCTCCCAAATTCTGGATCTATGTGAATTTCTGAAAACAAAACAAAGCCATTCTCCCTGTCCTGCCCTATTTTGATTTGATTGGGGGGGGAGGGCTTTGGAGAGCCCCCATTGTTTATCACTGCTTTATTTTTCTCCCCCAAACCAGGTTCCAGATTTTAAAGGGAATGCAGAGAAGGGAAAGGAGCCATGGCCTCAGGGTTGGGGAGGTGGGAAGCTGATTCCCCCTCACACAAAGACGTACGAGGGAGCCCCGTCCAGCAGCGCTCTGCTATCTCTTTGTCTTTTCCAAAGATGAGAAATTGCTAATAAATTTTTGTGTATATATTTGTGCTGTGATGATGGGTCTAAAATTGATCATTGGAACCCTGTTGCTATGAAATATTGCTTTTATGTCTATATTCTATATATTGTTTGTGAAAGTAATTATTTTGAAGTTCTGTTTTTTTCCCCTCCCTTTATTGATTGATTTTTTTTTTTGGTATTCCAGTAATTTTTAATTTCAGCCTTTTTTTTTTTAAATAAAGGAACTACAAGAAATTAAACCCCCACCTGTATTTAAATTCTCTTCTGCTCTTTTTCCCTTTTTCCCCTTATCTTTCTTTTTCTTCTCTCTTTTTTCTCCTTCTTTTCTCCTTTTCCTTTTTTGTTTTCTTTTTGTTTTGTTACCGCTGTGCATTTTGTCCACAGTTCGCCGCGTGGCTCCCCGCTTCTCCATCCCACCCACCAGCCACGAGATCATGCCGGGGGGTAACGTGAACATAACATGCGTGGCTGTTGGTTCGCCTATGCCGTATGTTAAATGGATGCAGGGGGCCGAAGACCTGACCCCAGAAGACGACATGCCCGTTGGACGGAACGTTCTCGAGCTGACCGACGTGAAGGATTCCGCGAACTACACGTGCGTCGCCATGTCTAGTCTGGGGGTCATTGAAGCAGTGGCACAGATCACCGTCAAATGTAAGTTTGCGCCATTCCTTGTTCAGCTTGGGCTCCTCCCGGCTTCCTTGGGCCCGGTGATCCTCAGTCTTGACTCCTCTCGGTGGTGGGGCTTAGCTTGACCCATAGCTGCCTTCCACAACGGGACAACTGCCAGCCTTGCCACAGACTCCTGGGAGAAGGCTGCTCTGCCGATTGTAGAAAGTTGGCCTCGGTTTTCCGGCTAAGTCTTGGATGAGGAGTCTTCTCGGGCCAAGGGGGTGTTGGTTAGGTGAGCAGATCTCTCCCTAACCTAGATCCCCACGCCACATTTTTTAAAAAATTATTATTTATTTATTTATCATATTTATATATCCGCCCATCTCACCCAAGGTTTGCATGGCCAGCGTTTCCTTTCTGCTTTGTCTGCTTCGCTCCATCTTGTACTTCTGTTGAACTGCAGAATTAAAATTGAATGTGTTGGATGGCAGGTTGGAATCCTAGTTATTTACTTTAGGATTCAGGGATAGACAATCGAACGCCCTCCAAATGTTTTGGACTGCAACATGGACGATGTCTTGCCCTTGGCTATGCAGATTGGAGCTCATGGAGTCCAAAATCTCTGAAATGCGTCAGATGGTCTGCCTCTGCATTTTCCTGGGGAATTGTGACTTTTGGCTAACTCTGCCCCCGGGCTCCTGTAGAGGGGAAAGAGCGAGAGCTATGCACGAGATTTTCAGAAACGTACTGGTGCATGAAGAAACATCAGCCTGTGCATGTGTTTCCGACTGCCCTCAAATGCTTCTTAGGGGCTGCATGATCCCAAAAGCGCCATGCTGTTTGGAAAAAGGTCCAGATGCAACCTGAGCATGTCTCATTTGCTTTGTGAATTCATATCATCAAGAAGCATGCATGTTTTCTGTGTAATTTTGCATAGGCCCATGGCCTTTTTGGGGCGGGGGGCAAGGGGCTTCTTCCGGCATGCCACTGTGCTGTGGTCTTTTATTTATCAATAAGAACACGTGGAGCATTTGACAGAGTAAAGCAGCCACGGGCAGTTCCACTGTCCAGACACAGGAAATGGTTTGGTTTTATTTGTGGGTTGACTTGAAGGAAACAAGAGGTGATATGACATCGGTATTCTGGGAATGATTAAAGAGATAAATAAGGGGACTGTTGGGTCGGCTTGAAGGCCAAGATGATCCAGCGTTACTCAGTGGCCAATCTAGAACATCATGGAAGCTTGCAAGACCTTTGAAAGTAGAGAGGCCTCATTGGCTGCCCCAGAAGCAAGGGGCAGCAAGAACAAAGGAATAAAATCTGTATGGGGGTGCAAGGTGGAAGGAAGGGGACAGAGTAAGCTAAGGCTCCAGAAATCTCTGGACGTAATGGGTCTTGAAGAACAGAGATGGCATTTGCATGGAGGGATGGCTCCTTTAAAAACATGGCTATAGAAGACTTCAGCGTGACGGAGGAAAGGCACTCTGACCCCCGCCGCTTAGTCCAGTTAATTAACTTTTGCCTGTTCTGGAAGTGTGCATTGCCTTCTTCCATCCCTCTTTAATGGAAGGCAAAGAAAGTCATTTCAGGCCTCCAGATCAGGTAACAAGGCATGGGGAAAAGACTTTTTAATGGCCCAAGTCCCTGGAGAGTTGCTATCCACCCTCCCCTAAACCTGATGCCATCCAGATGTTTTCAATTTCAACTCCCAACATCCTTCCACCATTATCTGGAAGGCTGGAAAAGATGAGATGGGCCAATAGTCCGGCCTGGATATAAGGCCAACAGGTCACATCTTCTTGAGATGGTCAGAACCTTAAAGCTGGCGTGGGACCAGAGCACGTGAGCTGAGCACATGCCCCAATTTCAACTATTTTTGCTGTTTTCTGGCGATTCCCCACACGTCTCCTCTGTTGGTTGGGTTTTTTCCCCCCATTTCTGAATGTTTCTGGTTCTCCTAGTGCAGAGTCAGCCAGGCATCTTGGCTGGATTTAAGACCCCTTTTCCACCTGCTGTTTCTAACCACGCAGGTTCCTCCTCCGCCCCATCACACTTGCAAGCAAATGGTCTCTTTTTTAGCTCCGTGCTCACGTTAATGATGCCAGCTGCTGAGCTGAACCCTCTCCGTGTTGATGACGGCGTTTAAGGAGGATCATAAAGTCTGCCTAACTAGGCTGGGAATATTTCAGCTGCTTTTCCCCAAGCAACCGCACGTCTGCCCAATTAGGAGAAAGACTGCACGTACGGTGGGAGACGGTTGTGTTTCTTTTCAGTCAATTCTCTCCTTCTTCTCAGCCTTTCCCAAAGCTCCAGGGACTCCTATTGTCACCGAGACCACAGCCACCAGCATCACCATTACCTGGGACTCCGGGAACCCGGACCCCGTGTCCTATTACGTGATCGAGTACAAGTCGAAGAGCCAGGACGGGCCGTACCAAATCAAGGAGGACATCACCACCACCCGCTACAGCATTGGGGGGCTCAGTCCCAACTCAGAATATGAGATCTGGGTGTCGGCGGTGAACACAATTGGGCAGGGCCCTCACAGCGATTCCGTAGTGACCCGCACGGGGGAGCAGGCGCCTGCCAGTGCCCCCCGAAATGTTCAGGGCCGGATGTTGAGCGCTTCAACCATGATCATTCAGTGGGAGGAGCCGGTAGAACCCAATGGCCAGATCCGGGGGTACAGGGTGTATTACACCATGGAGCCAGATCAGCCAGTCAGCAACTGGCAGAAACACAACGTGGACGATAGCCTCTTGACCACCGTGGGTAGCCTTCTGGAGCACGAGACCTACACCGTGCGAGTCCTCGCGTTCACGTCCGTGGGGGACGGCCCGCTCTCGGATCCCATCCAAGTGAAAACTCAACAAGGAGGTGAGTCTCTGTAATTACGGGGCACCACGCTTCGTGGGGTCCCCCCAAAAGCCCTTCAGAGCCACTTCAATGCTGAACAACCAAATAAGACTTTTAACATAACAGAGGGGAGAAACACTTCCCAACACAGCCAGTAAACAACTAAATTTAACTTAGTGTGCATTAAAGCAAAGTTGAAATTAAATTGAACCCAGTCTAATCTTTGCCCAGTCCTGACCATCTTTCAGGGGCTGAGCCTTGCTTATTTCTTGGGGTGCCCCCCGCCCCTCTCCGTCCCTCGTTCGAAGGCTACCCAGAGATCAGTTACGCAACTCTGGTGCAAGCAAGTCACGTTGGCCTTTGATGCCGGCTGGATTTTTGCAGACCAGCCTGTAGAGGAGCAAGCCATTAGAGCAGTGTTTCTCAACCTTGGTGACTTGAAGACGTGTGGACTTCAACTCCCAGAATTCCCCAGCCAGCTGGCTGGGGAATTCTGGGAGTTGAAGTCCACACGTCTTCAAGTCGCCATGGTTGAGAAACCCTGTGTTAGAGGATCTGCAGGCTTAGAGCGTTACTGAGCTACCAACGGGAAGGAATATTTGGTTCTGTAGTACTAAGGGAGAATCATTTCTACCATTTTCTAGGAAGTATGAAGAACACACTTGCTTTTCTATAGTCAAGAACCTTTAATTTCCTCCTTCAGTCTAATGGTTGCTAAAGACAGGGCAAATATAATGGTTGAACCCTGGGTGCGGAGGTGTGGATTCAGCCCCATCTCAACCGTATTTATTTATTTCAGAGAAAACCAAAATATAGTTTTCTGTGTGGAATACCCTGAACTAGGGAGTCAGGGAATTTGAAAGGGGACCCTCTGTGAAACAGACCAAAAGTCAATTATTTCTTCTCTCCCCAGACACACATTTTCCCCTCCCCAGGAAAATTCTTGGACTCTGACAGTCCTAAAATGGGAAAACAATTACGACTGCAGAATTAATCAAACATGGGATAGGTTGTTTTTATAGAAAAAAAATAGTATTCTGTAGTAGTGGTAATAAATATTATTTTCATAGAAAATTGTTATGGCTTTTGGGAGCAAACTGGTTTATTCAGGAATGCTTTTTTTTTCTTGGCTGATGGGGTGATATGGTTACCAGACACATTATTGCTAACAAAGTATAGTGAAATGTTTAGATTCTACTCCACAGGTAGTCCTCACTTAACAACCATTCATTTAGTGACTGAAGTTACAATGGTGCTGAACAAAGGGACTTACAACCGGTCCTCGCACTTTCAACCATTGCAGCACCCCCACGGTCACGTGATCACCGGCTTGCACCTACAACCATTGCAGCATCCCGGGGTCATGTGATCACCATTTGCGACCTTCTCAGCCGGCTTCTGGCGAGCAAAATCAATGGGGAACTGCATGATTCACTTAATGACCACTGCAAAAAAGGTTGTAAAATCAGGTGCAACTCGCTTAACAACCACCCTGCTTAACAACAAATTTTCAGGTCCCTATTGTGGTCGTTAAGTGAGGACTACCTGTATTTGGATGTATTTTATTCTTTGCATTGATTTCATGCCTGGTCCTGTTGGTGCACGAGATAGCATCCTTCAGAATTAAAACGGTTATCAATTTCATAAATTAATATACAAATCCACCCCCCAGTATTCTCTTTCCATTGTAGCAGGAAGGCTAAGGGCTTCAATCACATAGTTAAGGCTACCATATTAACTCTTTTGCCCCCCTTCCTGCAGACAGCTCTGTATTTGGGAGAGAAGGAAGTTTGACTTTACTACAGGGTTAAATGCAACAAACTTGGAGAATCAAAAACCTGGAGGTGGAAAGTGGGGCAGAGAATCAATAAAATATTCCAGAATATGACTTTTTTTGGCTCAGGAATAGGAGCACGTCACACTGCAACTTTTTATGGCAGGCCCAACCCACACGTGTGATTTCTGACTTTTCCGATTTCTCTCTTTGATAAATGTGCCTATGCTGGTCTATGTTGTGCCTCACCTAGGGTTGTACTTTATTTAAAAATCTAACAAAAACATTTTGGAGAAGGATGGGTCTTTTTTAAAAAAAAAAGCACCAATAGCGATGCCTTAAAAAACAAATTTCCTACTGAACTTTGTTCCTACCAAACTTAGTTTCCTCCTGGCATAAGGTTAGTTATGCAAGGAATCAGGAGTGTCTGCAAAGGTGGTCAAAAAGCTCAAGATGGTGCTGCAATAGTACGTTGCACATAAAAACCAGCCAGAGCTTTGATAACACTGCCACAGCCGTCATCTTGACTTTTTTGATCACGCCCAGCGGACACCCCCATTCCACGTGTTAGACATAATTACTCAAAGGATAAGACGGTGCTTCTGCCCTGCTTGTTGCATGGAAAGGAGAGTTGTGTAAGTTGCATGGAAGGGAGAGTTGTTAAGAAGAAATAGAAAAGCTGAATGCCATAGGAATAGAGTAATTAAGAAGAGTGTAGTCAGGCAAGAAGAGATGGCGTCAAGAATGAATGGAAGATGGGTGAAGCTGGCCTGAACGTGACAGGGAATGACCAGAACAAAACCAGCACATTGACAAGGACTGAATTGCGCAACAGAGATCTGAAGGAAAAGTGAATGGGTCAAGAGGAAGGGGAAGATTGAGAAAGTTGTGATTGGGTGAAACTGATGAGATCCCGGAGAGAGTGTTAAGAAGAAAAGGCAACGCATGAGTCTTGGATGGTTGTGGGGGAAGCAAGGATGGTTTGCAAGGAAGGAAAGGAGGTGGGGTAGCAAATGGGGTTGGTGTAAACTAGATTCAGCTGCATTTCCTCTTCTTTGCACCTCCCTCCTCCCTCCAGTTTCTTTTGCCTGCTACTTCTCACTCCTTTTCTGTGCTCTGCATCACACGGCTTATCCCGAAAGGAAATAGCACGATAGGTATGTATATTTGTAGGTAGTATGTCCAGTTGCCTTCTGCCTCCCCCTCACCCATTCTTACATACAACCTTTCTGCATTCCTACCCCTCACCCACCTTACCTTTGCCAGTTCCCGGGCAACCGATGAATTTCCGAGCAGAGGCCAAGAGCGAGAGCACCATCTTACTGACCTGGAGCCCTCCACGCCAGGACATTATCCTGAAGTATGAACTCCTCTACAAGGAAGTCAGCAACAAACCAGGGAACCCCGAGGTAAGTCCGATCTAGATGACTTCCCGGGAACGGGAATCCATTGCAGGAAATCAGGAGTGATGATGCCCGTTCAAACCTGTTCTTTGTTTCTGTTGCTTGTTTGCCTTGCCCACACTCACACCCCCTGCCCATCTGCAGTTTTTGAAGACTTTTGACCCAGTGACCTCCTTCCTGGTGAAAGAACTGAATCCCAACACAGAATATGTCTTCCAATTGGCGGCTCGCTCAGCTTTGGGCCTTGGGGCCCCGACACCGGAGGTCAGGGAGCGCACGCTGCAGTCTAGTAGGTGTCACTTTCCTTTCCCAGAATTCTCTGAAGGGATCAAGGTCAGGCAGGAGACACAACGGCTGGGGGCCAAGGTGTGGAATGGTGACCGGGGTAGGGCATCAGGGCAAGCAAGGCTAGGAGGGGGAAGCCAGACGCTCCACCTTAAATTGCTTTACCCCAAAGGAGTTAAGCAAGGAGTTAACTTTTCTGGCTGCATCCTGACTGGGGGCACGGCTGGGAATGGTCTCTGTGTGCAAGAGAGAGGAGGGAGGGGCAGTCTCTGTATGGCTGGGCCTGGTGTATCACAGGGCATAGTGCAAATGTTCTTGGGCTCTGTGTGTTTCTGGGGGTGCATGGTGGGCTGGAAATGTGAGGAGAAACCATCAGCTACCAACTCTATTTAGGCTGCCCCCTTACTTACATGGCAACCTTTCTCTTCCTTGGGGAGAAAAAGTGACTCCCTTAAATCGAAAATTGGGGATCAGTAACCTGGATCACTTGCAGTGGGGGGACGTCCTGCCCCATAGGGGTGTAGGTTCGTGAGCATCCAATGCTCCGGCTCAGGGGTTGGATGTGAATGGGAGGAAAACGCACCAAGGGATATGGAGGACAACGTGACTGTATTTTCGAGAGAGACCTTTCCCCCTTGCTCCTCCCTCCTCCCTTTCCCATAACTCACTGCCACAAGCATTCCTCCCCCCAACAAGTGTGACGGAGGGCACGGGGCACAATCATGCCACCAGGAGCTGTATCTAGTGCTGGTTTTAGTTTAATGGATTGTCTCCCTTCACCGTTGCACCAGGGGCAGCACCAATCCTGGCTGGCAATGTTATATGGAACTTTGCTTTAAAAAAAAAAGAATGAGGTGGTTTTCTTTGTTGTTTTTCCCCTCTTCCTTTCTCTCTTCCTTTTGGTTTTCTTTCTTTCTTTCTTTCTTTCTTTCTTTCTTTCTTTCTTTCTTTCTTTCTTTCTTTCTTTCTTTCTTTTCTTTTTTTTTTCCAACCGCATGAATGGCTGCGGCTGTTCTTTGTGTTTCTCTGCCTCCTCTCATCTTTACTGTACTGAACTCGGCCACGGGGTTGGGGTAGCTGTGAGCAGAATGAGCTGGGGGTGTGGGGAGGAGGCCCAAGGGGGGAGATGCATTTTGTCCTCCCAGGAAGCCCTTGAACTAGGAGGACAGCTGCCTGTCCAGAGGTTATCGATAGCTTCATCTGCCTCTTCTTGCTGTTTCTTTTCCATCTGCTCCGTTTTCTCTTTGGCTCGATGCAGGGCTCTGTTTTATTTTCACTGCCTTCTCTCTTCTCCCCACCATTTTTCCCAACATACACAATTTCTCCCTTCCGTGCAATGTGGTTATAGATTAACTGCCACCGTCTTTGTGCCTCGGACTCAACTCTCCAACCGTCGCCATCAGTGCTGGTTGGAGCTGATGGAGGTTGCAGTCCAAGACATCTGGAGGGGATCCAGTTTGGGAAGGGTGGTCTAAACCTGCAGGCACGATTCTGGTGTCGCGTATAACTCAGGATGATGTAAAATGTCTCATGTTCTTGAGGTGAATGTAGTTGTGCTCTGTTAGGGTGCAAAACTGGTCTTACCTTGAGCAAGAGGGCCAGGATGTAAAGAAGCAAACGTTGACCTTATTGCATGTCTTCAGAGCGGCCCACAAAAGGTGAAGCAGAAGGATGGAATCAAATACAAAAGAGAGAGAGAAGAGATAGGCTGCCCTTTAGATTTGAAAGGAGAGAATGCTTGGAACATGTGAACAAGTCTGCAAGGCCTTATGAAGTGGTTGCATCTTTTCCAAGATCACAGGCCGGTATATTTTTGCCTTCAAATCCAAACACTGCTCAGACCTCCATGGATGGAGATGGATGGATGGATGGATGGATGATAGAAAGAAATGGATGCATGGGTGCATGGATGGGTGCATGGATGGGTGCATGGATGCATGGATGATAGAAAGAAATGGATGGATGGATGGATGGATGGATGGATGGATGGATGGATGGATGGGTGCATGGATGCATGGATGATAGAAAGAAATGGATGGATGGATGGATGGATGGATGGATGGATGGATGGATGGATGGATGTTAGAAAGAAATGGATGGATGGATGGATGGATGGATGGTCGGACGGACAGACAGACAGACAGACAGACAGATGATGGAGGGGGATGGATGGACGGACAGACAGATAGGATGGAGAGATGGATGCATAGATGATGATGATTTATTAAATGTATATGCTGCTTGACTCTCAGTGATGTATATGCTACTTGACTCTGGGCACTTTACAAATTGTTAAAAACGTTTAAAACAAGAAAACAACACAGAACAAAAAAAGAGCAACATTGGTAGAGTTAACAAACCCAGATGGGACCAAAGAAAAAGAAGAATGATCGATAGATGCACCGCACAGACCTCCCTCTCGTTTAAGGAGAGAGAGAGAGAGAGAGTAGACAGGCCGGTAGGAAGGTGGGTAGGTGGGTGTTCTGCCGGCAGCACTCACCTTTCCCTGCAGCTGAGGTCCTGTGAATAGAGCAAAGGGCGATACCTTTTCCTGTCGGATCCCCAACCGTTCCTTCGTGTGTTGGATGAAGTAGAGGCATAGCTTGCTGACAAAACCAAACACAGAGGGGAGAGCATTTTGTGATGCTCCTGTGAATGAAA